TGAAGTTCCCGATTAATAAGTGTTAATCACAATTATAACTTACGAAGTTTATAGCACATAAATTACAACTACCCAATAATAGATACTGTTTTTTGGCGCTTCGCGTTGGTTATATTTATAGGCGTGTGGAGAGTTTCTCGAAATTTCAGTTTTACGTAACAATATCGACGCTAACACTAGCTTTCACGTACACACACATATATTGTTGATTCTTACACTCGAGAATCTTTTACAACTTTAGATAATAGACGGAAGTTGCGCAATACATATTTAACAGTTATGTACGTTTATAAATATAAATTTAATTTAAACAAACATCGATATTAAAATATAAATACAATAATAAATCTGTCACAGTCCTCAGCTCCAAAGTGTGGAGCGTGTTTTTGGGACAACAGGTAAAACAATCCTCGAATTTATAATCCGGGCAGGCTAACCCTCGGATCAGGTAGACTTTTATTCTCTTATTAAATATTTTTGTTTTTAGGCCTGGCATAGTCTGGTGGTTAGGGTGTTAGACTCGCAACCTGTGGGTTGTGAAATCGAAACTCGTCCCCGAACATGCATGCACTTTCAGCAGTGGAGGCGTTATTCGTTGGTAAAGAGTAGCTTAAGAGTTGGTAGAGGGTGGTATTGACTAGCTTTTTTCTCTCTAGCCTATCACTTCAAAATTAGGGACGGCTTGCGCAGATAGCACTAGTGTAGCTTTGTGCAATATTCAACAAACATACAAACAATCCTACTTTCTTTTGAAGTAACATGCAAAGTTATCAGTGTTTGTTAAATATAATTAGCTGACGAGTATAGCTGAATATTTTCCGGTGACGTTTTTCTGACCCCTCCGTATATCTTTTGAAGAACATTACAACATATATTGAAATATCAGAACGAAACGTTTGTTCCATCTTCAAAGGGCACAATGTATATAGAAATATACGTATAGATTATGCTCTTTGTACTCGGTAAATCGAGCGACTTCAGTAAAAATTCTTGTCCGGTTGAAACTAAGATCTAAAGAAATACGTAATTACTCGTAAAGACAAAGAAGAATATTGGATTTCGGAAAACTAAAGAGGCAAATGATTATAATTATTTGAAATGCGAAGCCTGTAGTTTTTTACATTTTTCTTTGTAAACAACATTATTTGTCAAGTGTATCTTGAAAAAAAAAAGCAGTTTTCGAAATCATAAACGCACTAATAGTAAAAATAAACCAATTTCCTAATAATATCCATGTTTAGTGAGTTTGTTGAATAAAAGTGAGCTGTACGTTAAATTTCCCTTCGAAACGTTAATTAAACATATCTAACCGATCACATGACAGTAGCTGCATCAGCTAACGGCCTGCATCTTTGTAAGTTTCATTAGCTGTATTATAATACTATGAACGTAATGCTGGGAGGGAGGGGGGCAATATGCATATGTTCGAAATAATACCTGATTGAATTTGGTATCTATAAAGAAACATCTGTTTTTTAACCCGGAGAAAGAGTTATGCTATTATTACAACGGAAGTCTTATCAATCTACGTGTATAGACGACCGATGATTCAGGGGAAACTTTACTAGCATGCGGGTAGTTGAATAGGTAAGAGCTGGTAATTAATAAAAATATATGGCTTTCACACAATTCACGGAAGCCCGGACCTCACACAATAATATGTGAGCGAGCCCACCATGATTATAATACACGTGTTTTCACCTGTTGCACTAATTGCGAGCTACAGGCCAGTTAATGGAGAGGATAGTGTACATTAAGGGGAAAAACGAGTAATCTGGCTGTTTAGCTTAGAAGTGTTTTTCATTGTCCTTGTTTTTTGTTATTGTTGGGGGGTTTTTTTAAGAATTTTTGCACAAAGCTACACAAAGGATCATCTACACAGGATCATTAGCCGTTACTAATTTTGAACTTATAGAATAGAGGAAAACAGCGCCCACCTCCAACTATTGGACTACTCTTGTCTCATTGTATAGTTGTATTTGACTGTCACTCTTATATAACTCCCAAAGTGTAGTGCACGGTTTAGCTACAATGGGTCACGAACCATTAACTCTCTCAATCTTAGTCCGAGTGGGATAACCATTAGGACAAGCACGACCGAAAAAACTGTTTCTCTATTCTTTTCAATATTTATTGCATTAACTATAACGATATATGCAAGAGAATATGAGGCTTCGTGAATATTAAGTTAAGAAAAACCGACTGTGAAGATGAAAGTACAAAAAGTGAGCAGAAAAACAAAACGACATTCTAAATGCAAGAAAATCATATTGAAAATCAGTTGTAACTGTGGGATGTTGTACATAAGATCAGTTATTCACAGAGAATATTATTTGTTAATTGTAACAGAAATATATTATTAATCACACTGCTAAATGTAGGCGATTTGGGGCAACTAGCGTGTGATAAAATCGACGAAAATGCTAAGAAAGAAACTAACATTTGTAAATATGGTATTACTGAGACAATACAAAAACAAAAAAGTATTAAATAATAATAATAAAACTCATACATAATGAAATAATAAAGAGTAGAAAACTGATTGATATCATTTGACTCCTCATATTTTTCCTACTTTGTCTCTAAAGTATTTTAGATCATGATATTTACCCTATGTTATTTTAGCACATTTCTTTTCTATCACGTGGTGTATAACCCGAAAGGGTTCCGTCCATCTTACTTCGAGCAGTTTCACTTAAGTTTTCCCGGCCTTTCTACCTAAACATTTTCCTTCTATCTCACATCTCTTAGTTTTTCTCCGTTTGTTGCTTTTCATTTTTTTAACAAAATATTTTTGGTTTAGTTTAATTCAGTTTGCTTATTTTTCTAATTTTACTCAGCTTTCTATTAATTAAATATCTTTTGACTATCTTTAAAATCTATTCTGTCTTGTTTTGTCATATTCTATGCAAGTTATCCTTTCATGTAATTAGGTTTTTCTCTTACTTTTATACAATCAATATACATTGTTTTTTTATTATTGTTACTTTCAAAACTATCAATTCTCTAGCTTTTAAGCTTTAGTCATAAAAGTTTATTTCTAATTTATCTATAAATCATTATATACATTTTATTATTTCTGCACCATTTTCTTTTTTCTACCCTCTCTTTAACTCTATTTCTCTGTTATTCCCTCTGAACTGTAGCAAGTTAACTTCTTCAGCTTTTGCTTTTTGACTTGCTCTATTTTTTCGGTCCCATATAACTCTCGATTGATATCTTCTAATCTTTTCTTGCTGTATTTCTGTTGTTCTCATCTTCCCTAGCACCCAGTTGTTGTTCTCACCACCCCTAGCACCCCAATTGTTGTTCCCACTCTCCATAACTCTTTGATTATTATTTTTTAAACTTACCATGTTTTCACTTTGTCTTTTTCTATTTAGCCTGAATTTCTAAACCTGCATTTAAAAAAATGTCTAGCTCTTTGCTACGCTTTATCTGATTATATTATTTTTTCAGCCTAATGTTTTTAATCACATACATATCTCTCCTCTGTCTTCGGGCTCTCGATATCGAATTTTTAATTACATCTAACTGTAGATGTTTTCTCACCTTGCCTAACTCTTTTATCATTGTTTTCCTTAATTATTTTTATCTAAATCTGTGCTTTACTTTTTTCAGCTCTGTACATTAATCGTTGTTCCTAATCCTTTTAGTTTTTATTCTAATTTCACGAAAAACTTTGCAATATTATATACTGTTATATTGCTTGTTTGTTTATAGTTATGCGCAAAGCTACACAATTGGCTATCTGTGCTCTGCCCACCACGGATATCGAAACCAGGTTTCTAGTGTTGTAAGTCCGCAGACATACCGCTGTGCCATTGGGGGCTGTTATATTGCACTTCGTGCATTATTCACGAATCTTGTCTCTTTTAATGTCGTATCGAGAGGCAGACGTTTTATTAAATTAATTTATTTGTTATAAACATGTTCATATTCAGTCGAATATCCAAAAACTACAAAATTGGATTATTATTAATACAAATATATTTGTGACGTTTATTATTTTATTTTGCTATTTTGCTGCTTCTAAATCTATCTGTTTCACTTATATAGTTTATTTTCCATGTGTTTCATCTTTGCCTGAAACTGTTTTGCTCACCAACAGCAATAAAAGGCAAATAGCCAACATCAATTAACCATGAACAATTTAAACTACTTCCAAGATCTCACTGAGTAAAGGATTGTTGGGACTAAATGCATAATTCGCGTGATATAATAACTAAAATTAACAGTACTACATGGAAGTAAAACTTATTAAATAATAAACTATGAGTAAACTTACTTGGTGGAAAGATCTACCCACTGTCCGAGTTCTTGTCAAAGTAAGGTTTGTTGCCACAGGGGGTGATGGCTTTTACGTAGTCTGCTCTCACGAGTGGTGGTGGATCGTCCAACTGTTGTCCAAGCTTTCTGCCTTGGTCCAACTGCTCCTTGGACTACATTCTCTGCATTAAATATTTACACACCACCCCGCATTCTGTAATTCGTCCACAGCCTGCCACCGTGTGTGCGATAATGTCGCTTTCCACCCACGCGCTCTCGCGCGAGACGAATGTCGACTGCTTTTGGTTTGACGTATTTCAAGCTCGGCGCGCCCATTTCGCGCAGTCAAATATTTATGCTTCAAGTTTTTAACAGTTGTTGGCGCTACTGATCTAAGTTAGATTTTTATGACCTTTTCTCTATTCTCATGAAGGCAGTCATAGGTAGAATCACAGTTTTTTACGATGTATTAAAAACAGAGTAAAGAACTCTGTGAAACAGAAGCACTATCTGGCTTTGGCTATAGCCGAATGAAGAACGGTGTACAGATCTATGTGAAGGTCGTTTGTTCGAAATTAATATGAGTTTTGTTTTATTTTCAAATGTTGACTTCTAGGAGCTGCCTTTGTAATGTCTAAACAAATAACAATAACAACACTTCATCAATTTTAAACGTTAACTTCATTGAAATGCAGAATGATGTTTATATAAATGTAAAAAAAGTCTGTGGAAAACTTATGTTTGTAAACAATCTTAATGGCTACAGTTGTACTGAAAATTTATGTTTGTAAACAATCTTAATGGCTACGGTTGTACTATGTAAATAACATACCGTGTTGTGCGTTGAAAATGAAGTTTAAAAGGATAATATTTTATTCGAAGAAAAAGAAGATTATCAAGATTTTATTAAAGAAAATTTCGCATCTTGTGATAAAGCACAGAACTGTAAGTCTAAAAACGTGAGATTTTCGAATTTTGTATTAAGAAAAATTCTGAAAATCTAGAAAGGAATATAATGAAAATTAAATTTGCTTATAAGAATGGTTTAGTAATACATGCTTTAGTGAAACAGATATAAAGTGGAACACACATTTGAAATTTACGACTATGTTCTGATCATTGTACGAATAAGTTTGTTTGTTTGTTTCTTTGAAGTTAAGCACAAAGCTACACATTGGGCTATCTGTGCTCTGCCCACCACGGGTATCGAACCCCGGATTCTAGCATTGTAAGTCCGCAGACCTACCGCTGTGCTACTGGGGGGGGGGGCTTACGAATAAGGAAACTATTTGCTTCACTAATGTT